CTTTTCCTGTACCAATTATCTTTGAACAATGAAGAGCTCATGTTTTGCGTATTTCCTTCCTTGACTTGACTAATAAACCCGTGGAATAAGGAAGTAAGGGCGAGGCTGACACGATTTGTTCTTGGTTATCCCAGGCTGGGACACCATGATCAATCATTTTTCACCCAGAGGCACAGAAACGCCCTTTTCCCTTTAAACCCCATTCTAGAATGACATGTACCCTCAGCTGTGTTCACTGGGTCAGGGTGTGTAGAGATGGCTCTCTTTCATGGAGCATGGCGTCTCCATGATTCCGTCACCATTTTAAATGTCTGCTGGTCCTCAAAGACCACAGATAAACCCAGAACATCTCTTTCCTGGGGTCTCCAAGTACTCTGGCCTGCAGTTCATCTGGGTCAAGAGACTGGCATGTAATTCCATTTAGGACAAAAATCCAGTTCTCATTAGAGGGAGCAGCCACAGTGCAAGACAATTTGGCAACACAGTGATGTCACTGAATCACTGAATTCACAGATGTCTCTTTAATGTGAGGCTCTGGTCCCTTTCAAGAACTGGCGTCCATGGCAAATTGAGTTCTGAGTTGAAACGTATCGCTGAAGGGTTTGAAGTCTACTTTAAAATTCTCGTCCATCTTGTGCCATGCCGTGGTCCTTTGAGATCCGTGGGAGGAGAAGAGAGAGGGAGAAAGGCAGAGGAACCAGCTTCCCCTCCTCACCTCACCATGGGGTGCTGAGGAGATGGGGTGTTCACCTGTGTGTAGCCTGACAACAGGTGTGAGAGGCCTGTGTGAAGGTTAACTTGAGAGCACATGGCCTTTCTAGAGGCTCAGTCATTCCTCACATCTACTTCGGACTCTCGCCAAGAGAAGTCTGGATTTTCATGTGTTGCCTAAGTTTTAACTACTTCCTCAAATGTATAAAGCCCAGTGTCAGTCAGACAACACTTGCCCTCGGGAACCCATCCAGTCAGTGGCGCCTTGCTTATAGCCTCTGGCCTCAGGCACCACATAGCCTTCAGGTGGGCCTGGAGAAGGTGCTGCTGGTCTGTCTCTTCAGTCACTGCCACCGGAACATGTTGTGCATGCAGGTTCATTCTTTCTTAGTCCAGAAAAGCAGTTTCTATTTTACAGGAGTTAATAAGCAGATGCAAAGCATTTTTAAACAATTGATGTTGTGCTGCAACCTCACTGAAGTGGTGAAGTTTGACAGAAAGAGCCTTCACCTCACAGTGTTGACTCTTGTAACTGCTGCCTTGGGACACAACTTTTATGGGGACATATATCTCCAAGTAGAAAGACCCTCTGACTTTGTCCTCCTATATGTTTGGGGTCCACAGACTGTACCTGGAATAGTGCATGCATGTAGTAGGTGCTCAAAAATGTTTGCATTCCTGCTGCTGATCACTTGTAGCTTGCACATTTCACTTAAAAAAACAAACTTCTGTGTGAAATACCTTATTCCCTTAGGTTTAGGTCATTGGGCAGAGGAGAACAAAGATAAGGGAAAAGCATGAATTAACTTTTGTCCTGTGTCAGCAATTTTATAAATATTATTTAATCTTTATAATGTCTCTGACAGGGAGACACTGGCTCATTATCTTTATTTTTACAAGTCAGGATAGTGAAGGGTCAGAGAGAATAAATAGCTTGTCTAAAGTCAGCTTACAAATGGCCCAGCTGGGATTGGAACCCAGTTCAAATGTAATTCTTGTCACTGTAACTCTCCATGAGCTCCACCAAAACAGATTTCCACTTTGCCTCTGTTTCCTGGAGGCCAGGAAGTATCAGAAATAAAACCCACATTGTTCTCAAAGTTTGGATGAACTGTAACGCACTTGCTAAGGGAGGAAGGCATTCCAAAAATCTCAATACCTATTTCCAAGTACAACAGACAATTGAACTTTCAGGGGTTTCCCTTTAAAATCGGTCTGTTCTAGAAATGAATTTGTCTTCCCAACCAAAACTTCTATAGTAGACATCCTAATGATTGGTGCCATCCAGTCACTCAAACTACAAAGTCTGGTTTTTTTTTTTTAATTTTTTATTACTTTTTGCTTTCTTTTTGTTTTGTTTTTCCTTTTACGCGTGTGTTTTTAAAAGTACAACCTCTGAAATCATCTTTGACTCTTCTCCCTTCCTCCAGATCTTATCAGTCACCAACCGTACACATTCTCAAATTCATTCCCGGTTTTCTATCCTTGATTCAGCCATTTAACATTGCTCCTTGGAACTATTTTAACATTCCCTTTTTCACTCCCTCATGCCCGTACTTCCTGATTGAGCTTGTGTGGCATACACATCCTAAGCTGAGAACCTAGGCATAGCGCCCCTGAACGTCATACCGACAGAACTGTGGTCAGGGTGAGGGCGGCTTTAAGCCACTAGATTTGTGCTAATTTGCTGAACTGCAATAGAAAGCGAATACAGTGTGGATTTTTTTAAAGATTTATTTATTTATGAATATAAGAACTGGGGTACAGGCCAGAGGTGTGAGGGTGAGAAGATTCACCCGAGACAGAGTGGGGAGCAGAACAGTCAGAGCTACTGAAATACACTGCTGAGGGGAGCAGCGGGTGAGACAGGAGAGGTCTGCTGTGCCATGTGGGTCAGCTCCCTAGCCGGGGATTGAACTCATGCTGCAGTGGCTGGCGATAGCTTGATAGCGCCGTCTTTAACCCCTGTGCCAACAGGGAGGGCCAGTGTGTATTATTTTAAATTACACCATCAGAAATACATTTGCCTATAAAATATGAAAACATCATCAAAAGATGAAATTTTCCCTTTGATCCCCACACACTCCTCCTAGCCAATCATGGCCTCTCCCTGCCCCAGAGGTAGCCACTCTTTTGGGTATCAATCCTTCCTTCCAGACTTTTCTAGCATTCATGTGCATGTATCTGTATATATCAATAGAAAACATAGTAGCATGTGGTTTATTTTCCTTAACTTCAGAACACTGTTCAGATTCACACGATCGCTGGCCCACCACGCAACAGAAGTACGACGTGATGTTCTAGAGCAGTTTCCCGGTGGCCCCTGCGGCCTGCTGAACCACTCTACCACCATTTTTGGATCACAGCTTGAACAGGAATGTATTTGGGGAGACTGGGCTTCCGCCAGCTGAAACGCATTTAGAGTGTTTGCGGACGGCACAGTTCTTGTCTCCAGCCTCCGTTACTTTGCAGCCAGGAGGAAGTTGCTCGGTTATAGGTTCCATTCAGAGCTACTAGGGAAACACTGGTGACTCTTGCCCTAAGTGGCCCCTCGTGGCCGCCTTGTCTCTGCCTTCCTCCCTCACTGGAAAATGTATGCGCCCTTCGAAAGGGGCTTCAGCACAGCTCTCAAAGAATTGCCGACTCTCCCTTGATTTAAAGAGCAATGAACAGGCAGAGCTTTTCAGAAACCAGCCTTTGCGTGTGGTTCACCTGTATGACCTTGGAGAGGCGAGAGGAGTCTCCTTTGACAATGGACCACAGCCAGTGTGTTAGGGTAGTACCTCATCCAAGAGGCAACCCCTAACCCGTCAGAAGAGGCTTTCTGGGGAGGCTTTTACAACAGTGTAGTGCCAGCAAGGCACAGAGCAGGGTTTCTATGATCTGGGCACATGGGTAAAGGAGGAGTCCTGGAGCCCTCAGTGGCTTTTCAGGCTTTTAAAGATCTTTCTACACCATTTGTGGTGAGGCAGCCAGGTACAGGGCGGGCTGGGGGGCCGGAAGTTGGCAGGCCTCCCAGCCCCCACTGATCTTCACTGGGCTCTCTGGAGTTCTCTAATGCTCTCTGCTGCACCCCACACCCTGCCCCCTGCTGCTATTCTGTGTTCTCTGCTCTTCTGCTGCTGCCCTTATAAGTGCCTCTCTGGCTCAGGTGTGTCCACTTACACACCACACTCCAGGTCTCTGCCATTGATGCTAATGGGAGGACAGAAAAATTCCGATGACTTCCGTTTACCCTACAAACAGGCTCTACAAAAAGCTGCTCCTTTCTCAAGGGAGCGTGTCTGCAGGACTCAGAGCCGACGGGCTGTGTCACGGTGCAGAAAGAGCACCCTGCATTCATTCCTGTCCTGAAGGAGACAGGCAGCCGCGATGTCCTTCCCTGCTTGGCTAAGGTCTGTGACCTTGTGCTCCCCTGACATCACAGTGGCCCAGAGATTTCATAACAGCATAGATATGCCCCTTCTTTCTTTGGTCTTTTGTGATGTTGAGTTGGAGAGACAGCTCAGGCACCCTGCTTTTTCAGGGGGGCAGGAGACCTCACCATGTCACAAGTCCTTGTACATAGGGTGCCCACTAACAGGGCTGACCTTGGCATCTCCTTGAAGAGTCGGTTCATCCACTCACATCCTGCTCGATGGGTCCTCTGCGCTTCCTGACCATTCAGGTAGGACCTTGGGGGGAACTAAGTGAACCCAGGTGTCTGGGGCTGGGGCTTGGGCTCTGCTGGGTGAGGCCGGGGCCTTGCTATGGGCTCCCTGCGGGGAGCTGCAGCTAGCTTCCCTCTGCTTTTGCATGGATGTGAGCATAGGTTTCACTTCCCTCTTTGGGGGAATCTTGAAGTCGTTACAATTCCCAGACTTCACCCCAAGGGGGAAACACGTGCTTTGGGTGTATACAGTGGGCTGAGCGAGTGTTCAAAGCAGGCCAAGATCACTGAATACAAGATTCCAAAGGTGACTTCAGAGTGGAAATACCCCAATTCCGGGCCATACATTGAATGTGCCTTGGCTCAGGGGGAGGGGGGGTGTCCCGAAAATAGGCGGCCAATGTGGGGGGGGTTTGTGATCTATTGGGGTGCTAAGTTAAAAGCGGGGGGGGCACCCTCATCTCACCCCTCTAGAGGTTTACAGGGAGCTGGGGTTTTGTGACGGCGACGTGGGTAAGGAGTCTGGCCTGGGAAGCGTCAGGACAGCCTGGGGGGCGGCCCTGGCGGGGCTGGGGCGGAGCGGGCGCAGCTGCGCTGACCGCCGCGGCAGAAAGGGGGCGGCCGCACCCACTTCCTCGGCCTGGGCCGGAGCGATCCGCATCCGCGAGCTGCGCCTCCCGGGTGCCGGCCGTGCCCGGCGCTAGCGACCCAGCCCCGGCCGAGCCTGCGGCGCCGGCACCTCCCCGGACGCGCCGAGGCCCCGCGCGGTGGGCGCCCCGCTGCCCGCATGGACGCGGCGCTGAAGCGGAGCCGCTCGGAGGAGCCCCCCGAGGTCCTGCCGTCCGCCCGGGACCTGGAAGAGGAGGAGGAAGAGGGAATGGAACAGGGGCTGGAGGAAGAAGAAGAGGTGGACCCCAGGATCCAGGTAGGGCGCGCGGGGGGCGCCCCGCGCCCGGGGTCCGGGAGCGCTGCCGCGGAGCTCGGCCCTGCGCAGACCCGGCTTCGCAGCCCCCCGCGCCTGCGGTCCGGGGGGCTGGTGGCCGCGGCGGTCCTCGGGCGAGAACAGAGGGTTGGGGACGCGGCTCCCCCACCCTCCCAGGGGGGACCGCAGTCCCGCGTGGATGCGTCCTGGCTGTGGGGGGGGGGTGCCCGCAGACCCCCTCCTGATGTTGCACATCAGGAGGATGTGCAACAAAGAGAAAAAGGGGGGCGGGGGCGCCATGCGGGTCTGGGGGTACCGCGGCGGGCACTGCATAGCTCCCGGGCCTTGGGGGGGGCTCGGCTGGGCCGCTGGGGGGTGGCTGGGCACGGGGGCGCGTCGGCGGGCCCGGCCAGGTGGGCGTCGCCCGCCCCTGCGGCGTGGGCTGGCACCCGAGCCCTGGCACCCGAGCCCCGGCTTCGCAGCCCTCACCTGGCGAAGGTGCCCGGCCTGAGCCATCTTCCTCCTTTTTTGATTCATTGTGAGCAAACTAAAGGGTTTATTGTCACCGATGGCTCAACCCTGCGCTTGGCCTCCAGTGGCTTCAGACGCAGCTTCTCCTTGTTTTGGGGTCCGGCCTGAAGAGAAATCAGGGCAACTGAAGCGCGAAGCTGACGCGCAGAGAAGGCCAGCGGATTGGCCTGGCTTTCTGTGCCTCCATTTCGAAGGCGGATGATTGAAAAATAATTCCCAAGCCGAGATGTGGGGTGACAGCCTCACCTCCTCACCCTCTGAGCAAAAAAGCCCAGTTGGTTCCTCTGCCAGGACCTGTTTTTCCACCCTTTCCATAAATCATTTTTTAAAAATATTGTTTTTAAGCGTGCTTTGCAATTTCTGGAACCCTAATTGGTGTTTCAGTGCACAGATCAATTAAAAGCTCATTTAACTCAGCGGTTGGAGTTTAAAATGGATTGTTTTGGCAGATTAGCAAGATAAAGATCAGGTGGAAACATGTCTGCGTTAGGAATTATTCTATTAATTAAAAACATCCGTTTGTGTTCTTCGTACAGAATTCTGTGAACAGGATTCTTTGTTTGCAGAGTAAAATGAGTTCACATATGCTGGGTACTTTTAACAAAATGCCAGTCTGAATGTTTATTGAAAGGATCAGGATTAAAACTAGTTGTTTTTTTTAAAAAAACAAAACAACAAAACACCAACCTAGTTAGGTAGGTTGAGTAATTGATAGTTTGAAAAGGTTTTCAGCTCTTTATAGAAACATTCTCACCACTGATGGGTTAATGCCAGAATTTTGCCTTTGATTTTAATGATTTCATTGGGTTTATACTTTTGGCTTGGATTTGTTTATTGTCTCCTCTGCAAAGTTCTTGCCAAAAGCTGAAAGTTCCATTTTGATTTGACCATTTGTAACAAGTGGGTTTACCTGAAGCCACATACCTAGAATAAATATTTGCCTTTCTAAGAAAAAACAAATTCTTAGAATCCTATGTATTTCAAGAGGGATGTCATCCAGAAAAGGATTTCAGAAATCCTGACATTTGCTTTTCTAGCCAAGGCTCCACTATTTTCTTTGAGAATTAATACTGACCTGTCCCTCTTCCTAGAAATTTTGCTTGAGTTAATTTTCAGATAGTGGGCTGAGTCATACTGGAAACAAAAGATGAATCCCTTACACCTTTTCTCCCTCTTCATCAGGGGGAGCTGGAGAAGTTAAATCAATCCACGGATGATATCAACAGACGGGAGACAGAACTCGAGGTACGCAAAGCTGGGTGCCTTTTCAGGATGAAGGAGTGTGTGTCCTGCTGACATGAGGCTGGTTAATTTTGTTTTAATGGCTGGTGGATTATTCCTGGCGTCTCTTCCCTCCTCAGAGTTGAGCAATAGCTGATTGTCCAAAAGAATAAAGTACACCGCCAAGCCCAGCTTGTGGGTGGAACACATGTGGATCCAATTTCACATGTTTTTCATGCTGAAAGCTCCGTGGGGCCCAAAGCAAGGGCAATGTGGACACACTTCAGGCCTCAACTTAGTGTGTCTGTGGAAAAGCTGAAAGCACGGGTGGGGAGGGGAACTTGTCCTTTAATAGAGAATAACAAGTCAGCTCACAAAATTTCTTACATTTGTACTTGGAAATACTGTGTTTCTTCAGACTGGTCTGATTTATTTTGGACTGTCCTCCCAATAACTCATCCCCTACCACTTCCCTGATCTTTTCTTTATTGTCTGCTTGTGTGTAGAATACAATTATCTTAATGGTAACTAAAAGCTGTTTAGACCAGGAAGGGCTTTCCTGCTGGGAAAAATCTTGGGAGACTAGAGCTTGATTTGAATTTCATGAGCATCTTCTCACCTGAGTGTAAACAGATTAGTATTCTTCACAGCTACCAATTAGTCCCCATGCTTCTCAGGAGCGGTTGGTCTTACCCTCCATCGGCAAATGTGAACACCCCATATCTACCCCAGAGCCTGCGACTGGTTATCAGAAAGTAGATGGGAGCTCTTGGAAGGGTCTGTTTCTAGTAGTAGGAGAAATAGCAGGGGTGGTGTCAGCTGAAGAGGCAAAGAACACCCCAAGAATGAGTGTGTGGAGGGGGGTAGAGATTTAATCTGCCAGGCCGCCTTGATTTCTGACTGAGTGTCTTGGCCCTGCCAATATCAAATATGGAGGTGGCAATGGGGAGTCAAAGTTTGTTGCTCTTGAGTTGTTAATGAAGGATTATTGCTAATCCCTCTATTCCAATTAACAGATAATGAACACTGTTGTTTTTTTCTCTCAGATGAAGTAAAATCTGCATAAATACATTTTTCACTTATGAATCAAGTATCTTTGGGCAGTTAATCTCTCAGAATCTCAATTTTAATACATTGAACAACAAGAAAAACCCTACAGACAAAAGCCCTAAACCCTAGGAGTTTAGAGGTTGCCATGTCTCTGTCTGATTCCATCCTGTCACAAGGGTCTAAAGAACAGCACTGTCCAATTTGGTAGCCATTAGCCACATAATGGTTATTAGAATTTAAGTTTAATTAAAATTAGATAGACTGATTCCATTGTTATAGAAAGTTCTACTGGCCAAGAGGCACTCAGGTTGCAGTATTGCCTAGGACAGAGCCAGGCCAAGCCCCAGCTCTTCCATTCTGTCATCCCAAATATAAATAGACACGTTGAAAAGTAGTCTTTGGGGGGCAAAGTGTTGATTTATTGATTACACAAACATTCGTCTGCCTACTCTGTCCCAGCCAGCCGGTATTCTGGGCACAGAACAAGAAGATTCCACGTCTTAGTCCTCAGAGCGCTTGCCTTCCTGAGGGTAAATGCAGGCCATCTGTGAACCTTATTTTAGCCCTAATTTCCGAATCCTCTTTCTGAATACACTTAGCTAGTTGTGTGTCACAGGAAACCCCAGGTCAGGTGTTTCCTGCCTTGCTCTGAACAGCACTTGGCAGAGGCAAAGAGAGAGGTGGTCAGAACCGGCCGGTGCCATGGCTGACCTTTCATGTGCTCCGATATCCCAGCTGGGCCTGGAGACATGGAACACCAATGACAGAAGTCTCTGTACCTTGCCTTGTAGCCACGATAAAAGGTAAAAAAAAAAAAAAAAAAAAAAATAACAACAAAAACAAACAAATAACAATTGGAATTAATTTTAATACATGTGGTGTAGCCCAAAATATTCAAGAGAATATAACTGCAACATGAAATCAGCAAAGATCATGAGAGATTTTACATGTGTTTTTGTGCTAAGTCTGCAGAACCTTGTGCATATTGTGGGAGCACACCTCAGTTTAGACAGGCCACGTTCGGGGCTGTGTAGCCACACTTGGCACAGCACCCGGCAGCCCAAGGCCAATCTGTGTCTCCTGTCAGACTTGCAGAGGGCCTGGGGTTTGACCCTCAGTGCAGCTGGGTGCTTGTGTTGCAGAGCCTGGAGGAGCGGGTGGCAGTGCGTGTCTCACGGGCTGTGTTCCTCGAGGTAACACTGGCCACCAATATCCGGGGAGGACTCTGTTGTCCACTGCAGATTTGTGGGTGAACAAGATCACAGGACCTCACCCTTAAGGAGTTCACCTTTTAGTTGACAGTGAGGCGGAAAGGCGGGTGACAACTGCCGAGGGTGATAATTACCATAAAAGCAGTGTGGCAGAGGCAGTGGAGGAGAGTCTCTGGAAGATACCCGGGCAGAACCTGCAGAGGGAGAGAGTCCATGTGCAAGGAGCAGCAGAGGGAGTGAGCATGGGGGCATCTGAGGGGCACGTGCCCCGGGGGTGTGGGGCAGGGAGCAGTCATTGCATAGAGTTGACTCAATTCTTGTTCTTCGTGGGAGTTATTTTCCATCCAGCTGCTGTGAACTTTGAGTGAGTGAAGGCTCAGCCATTGTCCCAGGGATGCATTGTGACCAGGAGCTCACAGGACACTGGCCCTATATTGGGTCCCTGTTAACCCTGTATCCTAGTCCCACGAGCCTCTGTCAACCCACCCATGCATGTCCTTGTGTGTGTTTCTGTTGCAAAACACCTTATTTAATATATATATAGATAAATTTAATATATATTTTGATTTATTAATGTTGAACACATGGCCGACAGTATGACAATTCATGCTGAGCGACGCTTCTGTGCATTTTCTCCATAATGCACATCTCGGCCTCCTGGGGCTTGGGCACTAGACTGCACCCAGTGTGCAATTTGGGAGCCTCTTGGAGAATGTCTTTGCTCTTCCCATTTCCTTTCCCTTTGCCCTTCTATGACTTGGAGTGCCCTCATTTTGTCCGATGCTGATGAAGCCGAATTGGTGACCAGGTTTGTGGGGGCTGCTAATTTACTCATGGAACTTGGCACCCTTGTCCCTGGGGAGCCATAGGCCAAGGTGGGATTCACCTTTAGTCCCCTTCCTTCTCGGCTGTTCAAGTCGGAGATTATCAAAAGACAGCTGGCTGCCAGCCACCAGCCCTGTGGTCAGCTGGACAGCTGCCCCTTCCTGGACCCCTGTTAGCCTCTGGCCTGGTTTGAAGGGTGTTGAGTCCCCTTTGTACTCTGATTTCTATCAAGTGCTGGGACCAGCCTTCTCAGACTATTGAAGGGAATAACCTTTCAAGCAGAGAGGCCCTTGGCTATCAGCCTGATGTTGCAAATTAAGAAAATGTATTTTCCCATAGACACATTGTTTAGTCAGCTTTAATGATTCATTCTTCGAGTATTTATTGATCACCTAATATGTGCTGAGGACAGTTTTAGGTGATGGGGAAAGAGCAGCGAAGAGGGTGGAGGGGACTCCATGTGTTCCTGAGACTTACATTACAGAGAGGGAGAAATGCAGTAGGCAATTAAATACACAGCAGGTGACAGGGTGAACTGTGCTAAGAGAAGGGCAAAGTGGGAAGGGACCTGAGCAGTGTGGGCGTTTGGGCATGAGTGAGGGGATGCAGGCTTGCATAAAGTGGGTGTGAAAGGCTCCCGTGAAAGCATGCCATAGGGGAAGAGAGCCATGAGGGGATAAGCATTCCGGACAGAAGGAACAGCCACTGCTAAGGTGGGGAGGGGGTCGTGTGCTGAATGATGGATGGAGGAAGGTTGGGGGAACTGGGTCATTCAATGAGCAGTAACCCTGCCTGGTGAGGCAATACAAGGAAATTGCTAATGTAATTTAAAAATGCACATCACATTGAACTGTCTTTTTCAAATGTTTGTTAAGACAAGATGGCAGCGCAGAGAATTTCTAAATCTCATTGTAATCAAGGTTGGCAATATTCCTTGCCAATTATTATTATTATTTTTTACCACAATGTTTTCATCATTTCCCTGGCTTGCTGTAAAGACCGGCTGTTCTAGGACAGTGAAATGGTCAAATGGAGGAGGGCAAGGAAGGACACAGCCAGGCCTCCTACCCCCACACAGCTTTTCTGACTCCGTGTAATTAAAATCTGACTTTTCCTGCCTGCCCTTCCTCAGGGAGGCAAAAGCAGCTAATTGTAAATGTTCCTGCTCTTGCCCTTCTGCTTGGGTGGAGATGGGTCTAGGGCAGCCTTTATAGGATGTTTGGAAAAGGCATTGATTCTGACATCTGTTCCTCAAACTTGCAAAAAGTCTGCACCCAGAAACTACTCCTCTGCCCCCCTGAAACATTTCTCTTTGGGGGAAAAGTAAAAACTGTTTTGAAATTCAATAGAAGAGAGAAGGTGGGATAATTTGGAGCAGCCCCTCTTTTCTGTAATGGATTATTAGCTCAAGTCAGGGGGAGAGAAAATTCTTTTCTGACGTCCTGGCACTTTCTGTGTGTGGGAGTGGGCATGGGGGCGGTGAGAGGTTGTGCCCTGGGCTCTTTGAGACTTGAAGAACGTGCTGGGGAATGCTTGAAGGACACCCCAACAAGGGGAAGCCAGACATAAGTGCTTCTTGAAGCTGGCCTGGTGGCAGGCAGGAGCTGGGACCAGACCTCTTTGTAGCCAGGTGAGATCTGGTCCAACTAAGCCAGGCATCAGAGTTGGGGCCTGGACACCCCAAGTGATTGGAGATGGTAGGATAACAGTGTGGATGTAGGAGAGCAACAGTGACAGTCCAGATGTCACCTGCATTGCCCTGGGCAGTGGGGGGTGTAGGGGGGGTGGTGGGCGCTGTTGCTGCCTTGGCCATTGGCTGACTAGTTGTAAAGATAAACGTACTCAAAGTCCCTTTTTAAAAAAAATGTTAGTCTACTACATTTTGTTTTATTTAATTATTTAAAAATGAAGGAACGTCAATGACAAGCAATCTAGATA